CTTTCATTAGTAGTAGAAGCAGCAGTCACAACAGTAGTAACAACACTAGTACAAATAGTAATAACATTAGTACAAATAGTAACAACACTAGTACAAATAGTAATAACATTAGTACAAATAGTAACAACACTAGTACAAATAGTAATAACATTAGTAGTAGAAGAATTGCCTTGCGTTGGTTTCGACAGTGGTATCAGGGAGCTGACCGTCCGGAAAGCAATGGCAAACTACTGGATGTAAATTTGCCTAGTGAAACCACACAACAGCCAGGGGCTGATGGGGTTGGTTCTGCAACGTCCTGTAAAGGATACGCAACTAACCAGTAGATGAATTAGTTGTAGCAGCGGTAGTTCTTATAGCAGCCGCAGTAGAAAAAGTGGTAATAGTAGTGGTAGCAGAACAGCGACTTCGGTAGAGGTAGTGGTAGTAGTAGCAGCAGCAGTAGCAAGAATTGCAATAGTATTTCTAGTAGTTAGGTTAGTTGCGTATCCTTTACAGGGCGTTGCAGAACTAACCCCAGCAGCCCTTGGCTGTTGTGTGGTTTTTCTAGGCAAATTTACGTCCAGTAGTTTGCCATTGCTTCTGGACGTTCGGTTTTTTTTATACCACTGTCGAAACCAACTCAAGGCGCATGGCCTGTAGCTAGGATCGAATCCGGCGTCCAGGCATTTCGATGCGTTCGCATCGACTTAGCCATAGAGCCGACATTTCTAGTAGTCAAAGAACTATTAATAGTATGTGCTGTTTCTGCTTTTATGGTGATAATAGCAGCAACAACAGCAGCAGCAGCAGCAGCAGTAGCAGAAACAACCTATGTCTTCATTATGTGTCTAATCTTGAGCACGTCTGTGAAATATTTAGCCCCCAGAGATACTTGATAGTGACAAAATGAGATGAAAAGCCCAGTTCACTTTCTTGCTTCTGTGAAAATTATATCAAGTACTGTTGACGGGAAAGCACATTAGCTTGGCATCGCCAAATAAAACTACAAATAAGGAACAACTGCTTTCGTTTGCAACAGTCTGTAAAAGATGACTTTTTCTTCTTCTTCTTCTTCTTCTTCTTCTTCTTCTTCTTCTTCTTCTTCTTCTTCTTCTTCTTCTTCTTCTTCTTCTTCTTCTTCTTCTTTTTCTTCTGCTTCGTATCCACCTCTTCCACATTTGCCTCATTGAAGTATTGGAGGAGATTTGAGAATCCTCAGTTTGTTCTTTTTAATGCGTTGCATAAGTTGATCTTTGTGTCTTCTTGGTACCTTGTTTTCATCTTTTGCATCCCTTTGCTTTATCTCAAGATCGACGTTGGAGATATGGAGTTCGTGCTTTGTGCGACTCTTTCTGCGGGCGGCTAGCTGTTCCGCGGAGAGACTGTTGCAGAGGGATAAAACATGGTGCTCTGAAATCTATCTCTAGGCTTTAACCTAACTATCTAATATATTCCCTAGAGCGTGGCTCTATGTGTCAGTTGGTGCTACGGCATTCTTGACAGATGACCAAACCATCTCATCTGTTGCTGTTTAACGAACTATATGACTTATTTCAGTCCTAGTCTTCTTCTCATTTCTTCTTTTTAAGGTTATTTTTTTTCTGTTATTCCCTGTAAAGTCTATACAACTAAAGTAATCGTGCACATCAGGAACAACCCAGTAGGCATTCCATGATTGTAAAGTAACTCACCAAATTCATAGATTTTGTCCCAGGATTGAACATGATCCCTCCAAGGTCGTGTGCGGAGGATCATGTGGATCTTGGCGTAGACCATCAGTTGATGCCCAGTCAGGAACATGGTGGCTATGGATTGTATGAAAGCGTTGACCCGGTCTGAGACCTCTCTGTCCAGGCAGCCGACTCTCTTGTTCAACATCACATAGAGTATTGCTGTGAATATACGTTTAAATATACTCTTTAGTAACAGCTGAACTCGACAAGAAGATACAGGTTTTGGAAATGAGATCACTCACAAAAATTACAGGTCTGTCATGCAGAAACTAACCACTGAACGTAAATTTGCCTAGAAAAAAAAACCCACACAACAGCCAGGGGCTGTTGGGGTTGGTTCTGAAACGTCCTGTAAAGGATACGCATCTAACCATGCAGAAACCACAGCACAAATAACGAGGATAGCCCTATAATTACCCGGCACATTAGTAACTATGAACTCTTTTAAATACAGTGAAAAGACGGAAAATACAAAGGTACGGATATGTAAAAAGATCTAACGGCTTCTAAAAAAAAACAGTACTGTAGGGCTCGGTAGAGGGAAAGAGGAGAAGAGGCAGACCAAAAAAGATCTGAATACAGAACCTGACTGACTGCACAGGAATCAGGCATGCAACCATGACCTCCATCGCTTCTGACCGTTAAATGTGGAGACGGCTGATCAGTCAACAGCAACTGCCAGCTGACTCAGCGAGGCGCAGTGTTACAACATGATGCTTCTAAAAATATACTTTTTTGCAAGACCGCAAGTCTGGATTCACATCTAGTTTTATATATTATTGTAT